CAGCGAAGATTATTAAAGTTCTCGGTCATTTGATTGTGAGAGTTGGGTTGCTGCCCTTCTCCCTGTTTTTGTAATATCATGGTGTGTGGATGATCTCAAACTTCTGAGAAGAAATACTGTTTATATTGTGATTTAGTTTCTGATCAAGTTTCTAATCATGATCTAAAAAACAATGGTTGGTCTATATAGTTGCATCTATTCTTCTGGACAGCGAGAGGAAGTCAAATTACTTTGCACTTCAAAAATCTTCACAATCGTCCTATCTTTATTAATAAATTTTGGATAATTAACAATAAAAATGAATTTAATGCCCTCAAAATTGAACGTACAAATAGAGTTTGTTTGTTTTGGATTAAAATTTAATTTTAATCTAAATCAAAGTCAAACATTAATATTAACTACATTTTTCATGAGCGTCACAACTTTTCACTCACATACTTCAAAATTTTTTATTACAATATACTAAAAATCTAATTTAAATCCACACCAAACACCCTCATAATCTGATTATGAACAATAACTCTTAGAATCTCTCCCCAACATGAACGAAAAACGAACCACACCTGTAGTTATGATCGACAACATACTCTGCACGTACTTGACCGAGCTTCATTCCAACGTCGTACTAGGAAACATGACCATTTCTCATGTATGCCTTCTTTAGATTTCCTTGTACGGAAACTGAGCTCCCGAAATCGTTTCCATGTCCTGCATGACCATTTCTCATGTATGCCTTCTTCAGATTTCCTTATACGAAAATTGAATTCTCGAGATGGTTTCCATGTCCTGCAAATGCATAAGCCTACACGTTTTTCACTAGTATTCGAACCTCAACAGCCAGTTGCACATTGTATCACAAATGAGAGACAAGATAATCAACATCTAGACATGATCATTCTCATTTAGTGTATTTTTGCTAAACCTTCTCATCTAAAAACATGAGCCGTAAAATATTACATCAGCTTGTTAACATTTCCAAACATGGTTTCAAGTGATTTGTGTATACATATCTGGAGTTCTTGTCTAGCTGCCCCTAGCTCTCCTGTGCTGTAACCTCTAACTCTTGTCGTTGTATGGCTTAATGACCTTTTCCCCCTTCCAATTGCTACTTGGACCCCACTAAGAAAAAGTTTGGGGTTGTTCTTTCTGTGTTTTAGTTTTCTATTTTGAGTTTTGTGTTTTGAGTGTCCATTTTGAAATTGTTGAAAATGTATTCTTTTTGTCATTTTGAATAATTATTTTCGAAAACCCAAAAATGAAAAACGTGTTCTCTTTCAAACTCATTTTCTTCCCCTCTCTCT